ACCCTTTAAATTAGTTTTATGATATACCTATAATCAAGATCACTTGGTATTATTCTGCATGTGTTCAAATGTTACCTACCTAAAGACATTTGAACTCAGGTGGGGAATATCTCCACAAAGTCAATTAAATAAGTTCAATTTTAGTGAAAGCTGAGATGGTGTGGCTTGGGAGATTAAGTATAGAATTTCCAATTTAATGCTTTGAGTGTGTGTCTTAAATCTGGATAACTAGCTTATTCTGGGAATTGAGACCTATTTCATTTCTCAGAGAATGATGGTCCTGCTACCAACAACACCCTTTAAGAGTTAGGTCATTAGGGTTTTTGTTGTTGTTTGAGACTAAATAACAAATGAAGAGAACACATGTTCAAATGTAACACACTAGAAATATATTCATTTTCCCTGGGGTGACAGCAAAGGCGTTCAGTCAGCAGCACAAATGAACTGCTAAGCTCTTTGCAGTCCCCCAAGTGTGCATTTCGTATAGAACACATGCGTTTCTTAAAACTGTTTCTTTGCTAGTAAGAATTATTCTCCTAAAATAGCCACCCATCAAAAAGAAAGGTGACATTATTGATTTTCAGAATTCTTATTCCTGTTATGTCAGTAAGCAAAGCTAGAAAGAATATCACAGCCCAGAAAGAATTGGCACTGATGGTGAGTTGAATTTACGAATGCAGTTGTCTAAAAGAGTTGTGATCTGGTGCGCTCAGCAATAATCCAAACTAATGCCTAGAGAAAAGCAATAAGCAGGGAAGGCTTCCCGGGAGAGGTGGACCTTTTTAGATTTGGGAATAGTCTATTGAGGGTCACAGGTGTATTTTCTTGATAGAAGAAAGTCTGGAGTGCACAGTTCTGGGCAAAACCTGTATTTGAACAGAAAACAGAAAGCCTTACAGACCAGGCACGTGAATTTGTAACTGACACAGATTTTTGTTTTGGGTTTTGTTTTTTTTTTAAGAAAGCAACAGAAACTCAAAACGACAATTTGGTCCTTTGGCCTCTCAGTTTGAAAGCAAATCGCCAGCGTCGTCTACCTTTTCACTGATGCCTCCAGTGTGCCTGGGAGTGTCAGACTGTATTCCGTGTTTGCAACAAAGGAGACTCTCAGCCGCTGGTGGGAGGCATCTGAATGGGGAGCGGAAGTGGCTAGTGTTTTAAATCGGGATGAAGGCTGAGAATTTCAGGACTTCCTTTTGATAGAAAGAAATATATGAATCAATTCTTCCAGTGACTGGGATTCTGAGGTGCTTCTTGCCCACTGTGGTTCAGGACTCTGGTCAATGTGACGTCATGGGAGGAGCCACCTCCACACTTTACTGTGTCCTTTGTAAAATGGGAATAAGATGCCCTACCTACCCCTCAGGGTCGCCACAGCAATCACCTGAGCTATTAAATGATAAGGTCTTTCCCAGCTACCTGTAAGTACGTGTATGCGTGGCCCCAGGATTTGTTCTCCGGAGTCACTGAAATCTCTTTCAACTCTCCCAAGAACTCCTTGAAGTTGTTATTCCCATTATATAGATGAGGAAACAGAGGCTTAACGGAAAAAGTTGCCCAAGATCACACGCTAGTAAGGAACAGGTCTGGGATGAAAATTCGGGTCTGATTCCAAAACATTCTGGAACAATGGGATATGTGGTTTTCCACTTTTCCCTAAAACAGCTACCTGCTTCTTTCAGTGGCTTCTGTTCCAGCCGACAGCTCCAGGCCCTGTTTGAATAACTGTAAGTCAATTCTTAGCTAGGGAAGAAGCCTTAATTATCACAGGGGGACAGAAGGCTGCATCTTCCAGGAATTCGGCAGACCCCAGCAGGAGGCGACCACAGGTCTTTGGCAAAAGATCACTTTTCAACAATGTTGTCAATTCCAGCGACCCTCGACCTTCCACCTGCAGGACCCTGAACAGCTGCTGTTCTGTGGGAAGCAGTGGCAGCCTGTCTTCCTTTAAAAGGCAAATGCATACCCCCCTCCACGCCTCCTGCTGAGACACCACCTGGGATTTCATCCCCAGAGTAGGGGTCATCTCCCACATCGAGAAATTTTTTGCAAAGGGGGCCTGGGGAGACGGCTTTGACAACAGACCTGAACTCTCCCTTTTAATACAAGCCAGATTTCGCATATGTCATTCTGTAAATCCGGGAGTCCAATTTGAGACTTGTAATTTGCTGCAACCTCCTCTGTTCCTCAAAGCGAGGTGGAGCTGTGCCAAGCACATCAAGGTAACCAGCGGAGGATGTGATTCGTCCACTCTGAGCCTGCATTTTGGTTCCCTATTGCAATTTTTATTTGTGTTGAGGTTTTGTGGTTTTAAACAAGTCAACCAGATAGATTTATTTTAAAATTAAGGTGAACCGACATCAAAGGCAATAAGAGGAGGATGTTTGGGTGTTATAAAGCAACCCTGTGTGATCTTTTATAGCCGTATTCTTTCTCAGGGCAGGTATCAGTAAATGGCTAAGGGACTTTCACCACCAACTTCCTATATTTCTCTGACCTCAAACTACCCCCAGGGGTGAAAACCCCTTTCCAATGGGATTTAGAAGCCGCCTCTCTCCTCCTCTTCAGCCTCTTAATCTAATCCTGTTTGTAACTCAACATGCCGCCTGAAGGATAAGAAACACAGGCTTAAGTCCTTTCCTACTGCACAAGTTCCTGAGATACGAGAGTCTGATTCAGCCCGTGGTTCACTTTGAGATATGAGGAACACTTTCAGGCCAAAAAATAGGACCATTTGGTTCATGAGTCTTCTTCTTGGTAAGAAGAAGAAAGTTTATATTGAAAGTTTCTCTTAAAAAGAATTGCAGGGGCCAACCCAGTGGTGTAGTGGTTAAGTTCACACACACTGCTTCAGCAGCCTAGGTTCACGGGTTCGTGTCCCAGGCGCAGACCTGCACACTGCTCATCAAGCCACACTCTGGCAGCATCCCACATGCAAAATCGAGGAAGATTGTCACCAATGTTAGCTCAGGGCCCATCTTCCTCACCAAAAAAAAAAAAAAAAAAAAAGAATTGCAGGTGATTCCTGGAGAGCTTGTTTGTCTTTTAATGCTACAGGATGTTTTCACAGGTACTTATATGGAATGTATTTGTTTATTGGCTCATGTAGGAAACTCATGTGCTTCCTCTCTTCTAGGCACTTTTAAGTGATAGATATAGATATATAGATTTAGATACCTGTATAGATAGAAGGTAGACAGATCAGATAGATAGGTAGATAGATAGATAGATGTGTAGTTCAGTGTTATATTGGCATTTGTGCTCTTGCACTTTTGCTAGTTAACCAGCATCCACATGGATCATCAGGGTAACTTTTTGTGCCAGGAAGCCAATGGTCCCAAAATAGCATTTTCAACTATCAAAAGAGAGGTTCTGCAAATCCATTGGAAGAAAAAAATTTATAGTAACAGGCGGCATTTATTTGGCTTGGTGTGCGTGGAAATGCCCCAGTATACAATCATGTATCTCCAAAACTCCAGGTTTACCCCACTGAAAATTTGCACCTCAGTGGGACGGGTGGTGTGTAAGGTCAAGGCTCCAGGATTCTCTGGGCTCACAGTGGCTGATTGTTTGTCTAGTTTTTGTAATATAAATGGTGGCATGGGGGCACCTTCTGTCATCATTATCCATGGTCTTTCATTGATGGGACCGTCCCCAGAACAGACTGTTTATCAGATTTCTCAGTCAATGTAGAATGTGGCGTGTTCTGTGAGACTGGCTATTTGCAAAGTTATGGTTCACATGAAAAGCAATCTCAGGTATAGGAAACCCCATCACTTCACTTTTCTTTCATTTTATTAAAGCTAATGGGTTTGTAATCGAGTCCTGATTCTCCCACCTGCTGACTTTGTTGATCTGAGGACGTGATTTCCCTTTGCTAGCCCTCCCTTTTCTCAGCTGTAAAAGGAGAATGATACACCTCTTTCCCAGAACAGCTGAGATAATTAAATGAGTTAACGTATATAAAAAACTTAGCACAATACCTGACATACAGCAAATACTCATTAAGTTTTTAATATTAAACAACCTCTGTAGGCTTAATAACATCTAAGGAGAACATTCGAGTACATTATAGTCTGCTGGGAAGGTCCGGTATAAACAAGCCATCCTCAGCGGGAGAATTGCTCTAGCATAATTACGTGTTTCGGAAGCATGAGGTGGCAGCATCTAATGTCTGAGGGAGTTAGGTAAGACTTCAAAGGAAGGTGACACATTTTGTGGGTTCCCAATGGAATGTATGGGACACCACTTGGATCTCTGCAGTGGATTAAATATAGGCTTGAATCGACCTGTCCATGAACACTAGGACCCACTTCCTTGTGGTGAGCAAAAATTATGCCTTGCACCTATATTGATTTGTCTATAATATGAACAGCTTTATTGGTAAACATGTATATTGCAGAAGTAGAGTTGGTTATAATTCCAGCAAATCCAAGTAAATTAATGGTGTCTATGTACAAGGTTAGGAATGAGAAAAACTCATAGAGACTAGATATGTAAGGGATCAATAAAAAACTCTAATAAATTCAAGAGAAAAAATGTTGAAATTAAGATTCATCATCATTCCACATATTTGTGACTATATTTAATAGCCTAATTAGCAATAAAAGTTTATGAGTTAATATCACCATGAGAACCTTCACTTCTACGTTACAGAGTTTTATCTGTAGATTTGTAACATAACCATAATCATCTTGGTGTATTTTTACACATTTTATTCAATGAACCCAAATGAACTTGCACTAATTACATTTTTAGCTGCCAATCTTCGTTTTCTAAGTTTGAATCCATATACCTTCAGAGGATGTGTGTTGTTTGGGGTGGTGAAGACTTCAGATCTTCTTATAAACACAGAGAGAAGATACGTGGGAGAGAAAAATACTTTAGCAGTGTCTAAATTATCTTTCTTAAATGATTATGCATTTCACAACCTTTAACTTGAGATATTCCTCTAAACGACTGAAAAATATATAGTAAGATTCCTTTCTGGATATTTTCAGAACTCCTAGTTATAACTATGCACCAAATATGGATAAACACTGGATTATGCAGTACACGGGGCCCATGCTGCCCATCCACATGGAATTTACAAATGTTCTACACCGCAAAAGGCTTCAGACATTGATGTCGGTGGATGATTCTGTGGAAAGGGTAAGCACGCGAACTTGCCCCGGTCACAGGTTTTGGGCCCGCTTCACATGTGTAGACCCATTCTTTCCAATCCTGTTTTTCTGTTGTTGTTTTGTTTTGTTTTTCGTTTTAAGAGTGTGTACGTGTTCAGCGACTTTATCTTTTCTCCCTCGTATCGTCCCCCTTCCGTCTACCTCTCCAGATTTGGTTCTTGTGGAGCCAGTAGCAAAGAAGAAATAAAAATCTAAACAACATAAATCAAAGGCTATACTCACAAATACCTTCTTTGGCAATTAAGCAAATAATGTAAAGCAGTTTCTGTATAAGACAATAGGGAATGGTGGGGATTGTGGTGAACTTGAAATTAAAAGTGCCCCGTCTAAAGCAAGGAGCAACTGCTGAGCTCCAACTAATTTTTGCCATGCAGAAATGTAGATCCAGTATCATCAGCTCTTCTGACCTTTTAAAAGAAGCCGGAAATACAAAAATTTTATTTGAAATCTCCTGCATTTTGAAACGTAACGTAAGCCAAACAAGACATGCCTAAAGGCCGGATCTAGCTGGATCAGGCTTAGAAGCAGCCTGTTTTTAACCCTGGATAACTAGATGTAAGAGTGATGATGTTAAAATTTGCTTTAAGAATGGATTTTTCAAAGTAAAACCTGTAAGTTTGGTGGTGGAGTTTGTTTTATGGGGCTTTTTTTTTTTTCTAAATAGGCAAACAAGATCTTTAAGTAGAATGTGCCAGATTCAGGAAAGTTACATTACAACTGTATCATTAGGCTTTTTTCCTCCAGGATTGTAAGCAATTAGAAACTGTAGATAGTGTTCATGTTTGTTGGTCTTTTTAAAGTAACTCTTGCCTTTTAAGAATAATGGAAAAAAGATTTGGGGGAAATTACAGCCACATTCATCATTGTATGCCATCACGATTGCTTCTGACTTGTCTCTGGGCTGTTTCAGCTGTATAATATGCTCGTGGAAACGAGGGAGCTGGAAAACACTTACATCATTTATACGGCCGACCACGGTTACCATATTGGGCAGTTCGGACTGGTCAAGGGGAAATCCATGCCATATGACTTTGACATCCGTGTACCTTTCTTTATTCGTGGTCCAAGTGTGGAACCAGGATCAATGTACGTATTCCTCTGTTTGCAACACTCAGCTGTTGTGGCTCATGTATGTCTGAGATAATTCGATTACCAATCACAGTGCCTGGTTTCCTTTCATCCAAAACAAAAAAGGATGTATGTAGGTTGGTAATTTAGAAGATGAAAACCTTGGCCTCCCCCCTCACCACATGTTGAATGAACTAAAGTATACCATTTAAAGAGAAAGGAAAAATAACTGTATCAATGATTAATTCTCTCACATTGACCAAAATTCACGTCACATGAGCCTGTGTACACAGACACAGAATGTGATCTTGGGGCCACCATCCTCACCTGCTTTGAATCAGAGATACATTGTCTTTTTTAAGAAACAACCAGTGCCATTCTCTTCGTTGTTTTTTTCCTTTAATTATTACTAAAAAAATTTTTTTTAAAGAAAAGTGAATTTGAAAAGCATGATTTTCTTTTGAAAGAAAAGAAGCCTAAAGGACTGGAGTTCTATTTCTGTCACCTTAGGCAAGTCACTGCATCCCTTTGCATCTCTATTTTCCCATCATAAAATGGGTTTCATATGCCCTGCCAATCACAACAGAATGTTTTGTATAAAATGAGATTGTGTACATGAAACAGTCATGGAAAGAGTGAAAGAAAAGAGTGCAAGTAGAATTCAAAAGCTGGAATGGCCCGTAAAGAGCATCTAACTGGACCCCTGAGTTAAGAGTGAAGAAGCTCGACAGACAGTGTAAGTGCCTCTCTCAAGAGTCCCCAATTCTGGAAGTAGCAGCGTTGGGGCCCAGAACCCAGACATTCTGAATCTCACCCATGTGCCTCTGAGAAGGTTGATTTTAAAGCCCTAGTTTAACAGAGGAGTTATGAACTATCAGGTTTTAGACAAAAATATCTATTCTACAAAAACCATGTATTGGGCCACAACTTGTCTGACAGTGTGACCAGAGCTCAGGGGCACAGGCCTCTCTCCAGCCCAACCCTTGTGAGAGTTCATCTTGCTCTGAGATACTGCTGCTGACCACTCAGCCGCCCTGGCCAAAAGCAACTCCCCATCCTTAGGAGATGAGATGAGGTGGGGAGAAAGATTGAAGCCCAATGAGTCATAGTGCAGAGAACTCGGCCCTATGTGCCACCCTCCATTGGTGTGAGGTCTGGGGTGTAACCATCTATCCCTTTGCAGAGTCCCACAGATCGTTCTAAACATCGACCTGGCCCCAACGATCCTGGATATCGCTGGGCTTGACACACCTCCCGATGTGGACGGCAAGTCTGTCCTCAAACTTCTGGACCCGGAAAGGCCAGGTAACAGGTGCGTCCATTTTCCTTCCCTCAGCCAGCCCCGAGCACACTGGCTTCCAGAGCCAGCCAGCCACCAAAAGAAGTGGAGGCAAAATAAGCTGTGCCCATGAGGATCAACACGGGCTGAGAATTTCTCGGCTGCTTGTGAATAGCGTATTGATGGAGAGGCAGCCGTGGTCTGTGGGAAGTGAGAGGTGTTTCTTTAAATAAACTGTTAGCACAGATCCGTTTGGAAAAACGTCCAGATGCCAACAGTAAATATTATTATTTTGCTTTCAGGTTTCGAACAAACAAGAAGGCCAAAATTTGGCGTGATACATTCCTCGTGGAAAGAGGGTAATTATTGGTTCCTGGGGTGCTTCTGGGAACCAGTCCTAGTGGGCAGCTCTCCCTGCTGAGCATTTTCCCCCCTTATTTTGGTTTACTAAGCATGCAGATTTCGTAAGCCTAGTCACAAGATCGAATGGTTGGCTACTCACTCTTCCCTGGCCAGCAGAGTAGTGATTGTTGCATCAGAATTGTGAAGAATAAATTCTCATAAGGTGGGACCAAAGCCCTTACACGGCTGTGGGTTTGCTGTTGCATTTCTCAGCCTTGGTTCCTAATCGGACCAGTCAGTTGACTTTCAACCCTGCTTCCCAAGTCCTGCCTGGCATCTTTCTACTTTTTTTATGTGCCTTTCCTAGTTTTAAATATATAAATATATGAGACTTATTTCCGTCATCACTTCTGGGTTTTCCGTTTTGAGTCACAATGTTTATTGTCTTTGTTTTTCTCCATACGCACATTGCAAGACAGAAAAGCATTTATATAATTGCTTTCTCACTAAAAGACCTTTGAGCCTGCAAAGCTAAACATTTATGCCCGAAGTTTTGAAATTAATGCTTTTGGGGGAAATGATTCTTCCTATCCTGAGCTCTCATCTTTGTGGTACCCAGCTTGTAATTTTCACAAAGGACTCATCAAATGTTGAGCTCCCGTGGACAGAGCCCTCACATCTATTTCTTGCTGTTTGAAGAATGTGGGGGTCATGTGACAGGGAAGGAAAAGAGAACAGGCAGGTCGCAGGGAATGTAGTTCAGATTACTTCTCACGTAAGAAATTTTTCCCTTACTGTCAAAGGAAATTTCTCCGTAAGAAGGAAGACTCCAGTAAGAATATCCAGCAATCAAATCACCTGCCCAAATATGAGAGGGTCAAAGAACTGTGCCAGCAGGCCAGGTACCAGACAGCCTGTGAACAACCTGGGCAGGTGAGTGACACAGCTTTCCTTCACCCCCACTAGCATGTTTCTCTGTTTCTAATTTTCAACATAAAAAATAATGTATATTTGGGTATAAGCAAGCTTTTCATGGTGGTCACAGAGTGCTCACTGTGAGACCACTCCCCTGCCTGAGAATTGTCTGACTGGTCCAACTTGGCCTCCTCATCACTGTTTTGGCTCCCTCCAGTTAAAAGAAATGGTGCTGTCAGAGAGAGTTCTAGATGTCCACCCAATTAGCCAATACAAGTTCAAGATATCAGACACAGGAAATGAGTAACCAGGTTGGAAGGCTCAGGGCTGGTTCTTTCAGAGGGGAAGGCACCGTCCCTGGGGCTCCTCATACCTGGTCACCAAGATCATGGGTAGATGCTATGCCTCGGAGGAGTGAACTGCCCCAAGAGACATGACGGGGTCTTCCCATCCTGGCTAAAGTCAGATGTCATCTAACCCAGAGAGGAGGACAGAATCCATGACCGAGTTTGGGGAATGAAAAGGGAAACCGTCTTCTGTTTGTTTACTGTTTCTGCCTCTGCTCACAAAATTCCTGACATCAAATATTTCGTTAGAATGAATCCTTTTCATTAATAGAAATATTCCTATAGAATTCAAGGCTACCCAGAAGACCAACTATTATGAATAAGAACTAAAGAAATACCATGTGATGAATTAATACAGACCTGTTTTTAAGGAAAGTGAGAACACATGAATGCAAACTATTTTAAACACCCTTGACTGAAATCTATACCAGCTAAAAGAAATGCTCTGTCATGATGACAGAGGAACTGAATTTCTGCCTAAATCATTACAACTTAGAATAAAATTGAAGAAAAGTGAAAAACAATATTTATCCAGCATTTCTCTTATGTAAGGCACTGTACATGCAGTTTTATATGCATTGGCTCAATTTAATCCCCACATACATCGAGTGAGATGGGCATTGTCATCCTCATTTTACAAATGGGCAGCTGGTGAGTGGCAGAGCTGGGATCCAAATGAGTTGTCTGACTCAAAAACTCAGGCCACTGGCTACCTTCCAAGGTAAGTTAGATTAACTAGGCGAAAAGAAGTTCAAATCTTTTATGAATATTTTTCTAAACTTATCTGACCTCTAGATGTCCACACAATAGCCAACACTGGTTCAAAATATCAGACACGTGAAATGGATAGCCCAGTTATTATTAAAATGGCCTCATTTATTTCACGCTTATTAAATGGCATCTAGCTTACTGAATAGACATTCATAATAAACAACTTGATCCTCAAACTCTCTGTATTTCCTCTTGCCTTTTTGTACACAGGGATTCCTTTGAAATCGAAAAATGTGGGGAGAGAGAGTTGTTGAAGGAAGGGATAAAACCAGGCCTTCATGGCATTCTAGTAAGTCTTAATTTTCAAGTGTTTAGTGAAGAAGCTTAGACCTATTCATTATATTTTAATTTGAAGTTTTCAAATCCTTCTTATGGAAGCTCTAAGTATTATTATGACTAAAACCTCAGAATTGTTTTGTAGTTCTAGAATGATTTTTATGAGCCAGCCTCAATAGACTAATTTAGTTCTATTCAGGAGTTGGAAATGTTCAGTGTTAAATATATCTTATGCAAATTGGTGATCTTGTTACCGTTTTAGCCCTCTAAGTGGCGAGCATTATAATCATTTGAGAATAAGGTACACTGCCTACCTTTCAGTGTACAGTTTTGCAAACCTCTCCATATGGCTTGCACTGAAATTTTAATATATATCCTAAAGGGCAAATTAGATTAAACTCTATTATGGTACTTTGGCACAAGCTCTTCACTCATGTGCTGAATGCTAACGATGTTAAAAACTTCACTTTGCTTCTTCGTTTTTTTGTAAACTTGTTTTGCCCCCATGAAATGCTATAATATCTGGCTCCCTGGAATTTTCCTCCACTGCTTTGTTTCTTTGCAAATCAGTCTGAATTTAGAATCTATCGCATACATAGATGAGAACGTCAGCAACAATCTGTTTTAGAAGTGCCTGAATGAATGCAACAAAGAACCACACTATGCCCTTGATGGTTGATTTTTTTGGAGTCGGTGCTCAAACCATAGTTTAAGACCTGAGAACTTTGAGAACATGTTGACTCTTCAAGGTGGTTACCAAGCCTGTAGGTCAAACCTGATAGCTTAGTTGTATTCTATAGAATCTTTATATTTTGGCCTTTTGCTCTTTCTATCTGGCTACTTTGAAGATTATCTTTTTAGTTATGGTATCACTGACTTAAAAAAGAAGGAAAAAAGTCTGGAATAAGGAGGTTGTATTGTTCAGGATCAAGGCAACAGCTAAGTAACTTGGTCGGAATCTCTTCTCTTGACGTTGATTTCACACCTGGTCTGCGCCCAGCATCTCTTCCTCTAACCAAGGTTAACTGCCTTCGTGCAAAGGCAACACATCTGCTCTTTGATTTGACCTTCCATGGGATGTAAAGAAAAAATCAGTAGTATTCGCCTCATTCTCTTCGCTCCTAGTCCCCAGAGAGGTAGTGTGTGCTCCCCTCCCACCACACGCCCGTGCCTGGTCGCCCAGGGTTTGTGCTGTAGGGTCAATGTGGATGCGTGGAGTAGAGTAAATAAAGGAAAGAGGGATTTGAAATCAAAAGGTTTGGGTTAGAATATTGGCATCCACTAATTTTTAGTTGTGTGTTCTTGGACAAAACCATCTCTCCTGAGTCTCAGGTTTTTCTGTCTCTAAAATGGAGAAAATTAGTCTCAGTTTTGTGAGGATAAACTGATATCATATATATAAAGTGCTAGACGACCCGTAAAGCAGTGTGCAAGGGTTGGGTGGTGTTGTTATTACCTGTTGTTTTCATTCCTAGGAAGCCAACAGAGAATTAAAATGGGCTGGAATCCCAGACATTTGGCCTCACTCCTCCACTGTGTGAACAGAACAACCAGCAGGGACTAATTAAGACAGCATGGACATATGTGTTTGCATCACTTCTATGTTCCTGAATTAATAGAAGGCTGAGTGTGAATTCCCACCACTCTCTCAGCTGGCATTACACCCAAGCACATTTATGTACAGGCACACTACACACACACACACAAACACTTGTGCACACTCATGTGCAAATCTCAACTTCTGTCTGAAAAGACTTTGGTTCAACAGACAACATAAGAGTGATGCTCAATTCTGGCTCCACCTTAGAATCCCCTGGCGAGCTTTTGAAACTACTGATGCACAGCCTTACCCCAGACCAATCAGATTTAAATATCTGGAGGTGGGGCCAGGGCATCCGTATTTTTCAACAGGGTTAAGAACCATAGGCCTAGAATCGGAGAATGTCAAAGTTGGAGAGAGTTTTACAAATCTTCTAATTGAATGCTATCATTTTCCTAATAAGGAAATTTAGATCCGGAAAACTTAAGCTACAAACCCACAGTCAGAACCTGCTTCTCTTCACTTCATGTTCAATCTTTTCTTCTCCAGAATATGCTGCCTCTGGAAAAATGTAAGACAGTCGATTTTCCCTTTGAAATTATAAATGGCGTTTTCCTGGCTGAAGCCATGGGTTTAGGACCCACTCACAGCATGGAGGGCAGTGGTCCTCAACCATGACTACACATTAAATCACAAGGTAGCTTTAGAAATGCTGATGTTCAAGTCCCGCTCAGACAAATTAAGTCAGAATCTCTGGGGATGGGACCCAGGCGTCAGTGGTTTTTTCCAAGCTCCTGGGTGATTCCTGTGAGCAGCCAGGATTGCGAACTATTCATGTCGGGTCAGCCTTATTAGTTTTTTTCCCTTCTTTGTCTAGGTATAGATATTGACTACTTAAATAGGAGTTACATAAAAGAGAAAATTCCTGTGAAATATTTCTCAATGAAACTAGAAAAATAATTTAAAATAAAATTCTCTGGGCATTGAAGGATATCTTATATATGCTCTGCCATTTAAGAGGAAAATGCAGCTTGTTTTTTATAGAACAAATGTCGTGTCCTTTTGTTGAGTTGTTAAATGCCAGCGTCTTTGCAATTAATTTGCCTTTCTACTGTTGTAACAATGTAAAAATCAAAGATTTGTTTAAAATTCTGAAAGGACCCCAGCATCAAGCAAAGGAAATTAGAATGTAGCTTGTTGGGTGTAAACTGGTTTTGCTGCAGGATCTGTGTTCTCATCCAAAAATTATCCCCCTGACCCTTTCTGACCAGCTGCAGAGCAGGAATAAAAAGACATTTACCAGCAAGATCTGGCTAGAAGTGTTTGTTTGCCAGAAATTGACGGCCTGTTTCCAGAAACTCACTGAGTCGCGGTTAAAATCGCAGCGTGGCTCAGAGACATTTCCCCTTGGCTCTCCTGATTCTGGAGGGTACGGCCAGAAAGACTGAGCCCTCGGTGCCATCCTCTGGCTGAACTCTCATCTGCACGGGGCCCCAATGTGGACAGCTCAGCCTCTAAACCTTGCCTCCTCCCCTCTTCAACCTGCACTCAAAGACGTGTCTGAACAGTTGTGCATTTACTTAGATGTTTTGGCTGCTGTGCAATTTTCAAAATACAAACCACAGGGTTAACCGTGAAACCATATTTAATGATGTTCCAAACAAGTCAGAAACAGACAAACATGAGGACAGACACTTTATTCATAAACTACGTGGTGTGGCCCCATCCTATTGAATGTAGACTATCTTATTTCCCACTGCTCCCCAACACAGCCCGCCCTGGTCAGGTTCCCCTCCTCCCTGTCTCTTAAACGCAGTATTCTCATCTGCAGGAAGTTGTTGCCTCTGCCTTCCTCAGTACTGTCCCCTCAACTGAGGCCCACCTGAAGCCTCACACTCTGCCCCAAACCATTCTCCTTTTTTATTGGTGTCCTGATCAATCGGGATTGAATCCTGGGTCCTACGCTTTCTTGGTATGTGGCCATGGGTAAGTTCCTTAACCTAACTCTGCCTCAGTTTCTTCATCTGTAAAATGGGTGTAATAATAGTAGCTGCCTCAGAGGGTTGCGGTACAGATTACATGAG